CAACCGCGAAATCACCGCTGCCCTCGTCCATGAGCCCACCACAACCTTATCTGATGTTCTCCCCCGCATTCTCCACATCAACAGTCTCCTCTCAACTCACAAGGTCGCCATCCCCTCCGTCCCTTCCCGAACACGTTTCTTCCACAACATTGCTTCCGACGACACCCTCACCACCAAGTTACCGAATAAGTTCACCACACCGACCCCGACACCGAGTCCACTTCTACAGACCCCCCGTCTTGCACCCAAGAAGAAGTCAATACCATCCATGCCCTCCGGATGGTGCGCAGGAACCGCCAAGCTCGCGCATCTTCTTCCACCTCGCCCCCTCACTTAATGAAGCTCAACCCGGAGGAACGTGCCTACCTCAAGACCAACAATGACAGTTTTCGGTGTCGTCAATTGGGCCACCAACAAACCAGTTGGCCAAACGCTGGCCAGTTCACCCGATTGGCTCCCCGCTCCACGAAACTCAACCCGACGTATCCGCTACCCCACCATCTGCATCATCAGACCCTCCCACACATGAACACCGTCCCCTTGCCTATCGCGACCCCGCCCCGGCGTTGACAACTTGTCAACCGGCCCCTCTCTTGGCATCGACGACCCGTCTGCCACCCCCACCTTCGGTGACCCATACCCCACCGGATGACACTCAGGCGGCACAGTTTACTCCGCCTGCCCCCCTCAAGACATCATCTCTCAACCTGTCAGTTGAGATCATCACTGGCATGTGTTCCTCTACCCTTCTCCCTAACCCCTCTTACATCACCTTCTCCGATGTTGTTGAGGAACAAGCTCAGCACAACCGGCTGGTTAGACTAGGCACCGAACAGCGCCACCTCAACAACATGATCTCCGCCGCTTGTGCCGGAACCGCCCAATTCCAGCTCAAGTTCATATCCATCTCCCTTGGCACATCGACAATGAATTTTCGGGCCCTTCTCGACGGCGGGGCTAACGGCAACTTCATTACCGACGCCTGTGTCAGCAAAGTCGGTCTCCCCTTAACCAGCTACGACTCCCCGATCGCCATTCGCTTAGGGGACAAGCACTCAACTATCATCGTCAATCGCACAGTTCCCGAGGCCACCATGACTGTCGGCTCACTCCGCAATCAGATCTCCTTTGACATAATGCACCTCATGTGCGACGTCGTCCTGGGAACTATTTGGATTGACCGCTACATGCCCTACTCTTTCTATCCCTCTTTCATCCGCCTCTCTTCAACTCGGAATTCTACCTTTGACATCCCTTACATTCTCCCCTTACCACCACACCCCACGTCTCCCCCCACCAACTCCTCCACATGTCTCGCCAAAACCCTGACTCCACCTACTATTGCCTCGTCATCGACCGCAAGCATCCTGAGGATTTGATTCCAACGGACAAACCCGACCGAGCCCCCCTACCCGACCCTCGCATCACCCTATCAAAATTCAAGGACGTCTTCCCCGAGTCCTTGTCTGTGGGCTTGCCACCCGATCACAGTGCATCTCACACCATCGACCTCGAACCCGATCATTCCCCCCCTTGTCGCCCTCCGTACCAACTATTCGTCCCATAGGCCAAAGAGATGAAGCACCACCTCAATGAACTCCTTGAAAAAGGAATCATTAAGCCTAGCTCATCCCCCTTCGGAACCAATTGTCTTTTCGTAAAAAAGGGCAGCACCTCAAAGCTTCGCATGTGCACAGACTGTCGCGCCTTGAACCGGATCATTATCAATAAGTAAACCACTCCCCCGGATATTTGAACCTCTTGATCGCCTCCGCGGAGCCAAATACTTCACCAAGATTGACCTCCTCAGTGGCTTCCACGAGATTCGTATTCGTGAGGAAGATACCCATAAGACCGCCTTCCACTGTCGCTTCGGGTATTACGAGTTCCTAATGATGCCTTTCGGCCTCACAAATGCCCCACCGACCTTCTAGTTCACCATGAACCACATCTTTCGCGATCTCCTCTAAGTTTGCGTTGTGATCTACCTTGACAACATCCTTGTTTTCAGTCCCACCTTCGAGTCCTACCTTTGCGAGCAAAAGTTCTACGCTAAGCTTAGCAAATGCACTTTTGCCGCCTCGAGCGTGGACTACCTTAGCTACATTGTCTCTGCTGATGGTATCCGCATGGAACGCTCGAAGGTCACCACTCTCGTCGAGTCCCCTTCTCCCACCGCCCACCGCCTTGCTCCAACTTAACTTCGATCATTCATTGGACTCGCTAACTACTACCCCTCCTTCATCCAAAACTTTTCCGACATCGCCTATCCGCTCCATGACCTCGCCCGCACCACCAAGTCCTTCACATGGACCGAACACCGCCAAGCCGCCTTTGACAAACTCAAACGCCTCATCACTACTGCCCCTGTTCTCAAGATCGCCGACCCTCTCGCCACTTCTACGTTAGCACCGACGGTTCGAACTTTGCCCTCGAGGTCATTCTTTGCCAACGTTTCCCTCGCGACCCCCCACCATCAAGGATTATCCCACACGATCGAAAGCACCTCTCGACGAGTACCCTATCGCATTCGCGAGTAAGAAGCTCATTGTTGCTGAGATGAACTATCCCTCCAATGAGAAGGAACCCCTCGTCGTCATGTATGCCCTTAAAGTCCGACCCCCTTACCTCGATGGCCAGTACTTTACCATTCGCACCGACAACATTGTCGTGTCCAATATCCTCACCAAAAAGTATCTCACCCCTCGTTTGGCCCGTTGGCTATACTTTCTCGCCCAGTTTACCTTCACCATCTGCCATACTCCCAACAAGACCAATCGTTTTGTCGATGCCCTCTCTCACCAACCCGACCACAAGCCCCCCGAGAAGTCTTCGTTGCCATGACCCATGTCAACCTCCCCCAATCTCTTCGACATCGTTTCACCCATGGCTACGCCTCATGCCCCGACTTCGCCCCTACCTACACCAAACTCCAAGACCTTGACATTGTCCCCAACTACTCCCTCATGGACCGCCTCCTCTACATCGACACCAAAGGAACCCGCTGCCTTTGCATCCCTTCCGTCCATGGTCTCCGTTCGTCAGTGGTCTCCGTACCAGTTCTTGGCTGAGCATCACGACGTTTGACAATATCTCTTGTTACCTCTACTGGACTTCGCTCCTTGCCGACGTCAAAGCCCGCATCCGTTTTTGCCCTACTTGCCAAGTCGTCAATCCCTCCAACCAACCCAAGGCTGGCAAACTCCAGTTTCTCCCCATACCCACCCACCATTGTCTCTATGGACTTCGTATGTGGTCTCCCCACGACCGAACATGGTCACGATTGCATCTATGTCGTTGTTTGTCGCCTTACCAAGCACGCCCCTTTCATCCCTTGCACCACCACCTGTGAAGCCAAGGACGTCGCCAAACTCTTCTTCGACCACAACACCCGTTATTATGGTCTCCCCGAAAAGATCATCAGCGATCGTGACTCCCGATTCCTCTCACTGTTCCGAAGAAACCTCTTCAAGTACAACAACGTCTTCCACCCCCAGACTGATGGCCAGACAGAGAAGATGAACGATACTCTCCAATGCATCCTTCGAAAGTATTGTCATCCCCATCACCACGACTGAGACCAGCT